TCTTTATGGAAGTAAAACAGTAAAATATGGCAAAAATGCACAGTTTGGTTTTCCATCTTCAACTTGTTGTAAAATCTCCAAAACTCAAACAAATCGCTCAATTTTTTTTTTTAGAATGAAGCTAGATGGTCAGCTGTCAAATGACATAGCAATAACATAGATGCGAATGACTCCAGTACTTCCAAAAATGAACTAGTGCCATCTGTCGCAAACATGTGTCATGACTTTTCCAATAACCGAATAGATGACTTATGTCTGCTCCCTTCCACATGAAGCCTTGCTACAATGAATGCCATGGCCTCTCTCTCCACCTACTCTTTATACAACAGACTTATGAGGAAAGAGAAGCCTGATTTGATGATCTTGCCTGTAGGATGTGTTTGCAACCCCGCTGGAACCCAGAGCAGAGTGACTGAAAACCCTGGAGCCGGAACCATAGAGGAAATCCACAGATGACAGGCCAGAGGCCTTGGGACAACTGGTGAGCCAGAGGTGCCAGAGGAGGGACACTGAATGGACAGCTGCAGACAGCTGGCCCTACTGGCACTCACCTCACTGAGGGGAGGAAAGCGTTCTGTCCCCGAGTCCAAGCTGCTGTCCCCATCCTGGGAATCCAGAGACAGTCGGCCTGAGAAGAGAAGAGTTGACACAGTAAGGGGAGGACTGTGGTCCGGCAGCCTGTGCGCAGGGCGGGGTGGGGAAGCGGCCACCTTCCTTTCTTTCGCAGGCTCCTTTGCCTCTCATCTCAGGACCCCTCAAGTTGGACGCTCTACACCTAACTGTCACCTGCCTCTCTACCTGTGCCCAGGCTGTGTGACCTCCCGAGCTAAGACCGCACAGCTCCATCTCACAGCAAGCCCTGCCCCGCGCGGGCTCCCGCCCGTTTCCTCTGCAGCGGGGCTCTGGGGCTCCTGAGGGCCAGTGCTGGCAGGCCGGCTGCACGCCACCGCCTCCCTGGCACTTAGCTGCCCATTTCCAGAGTGGCTTGTGCTCCATTTCCCCGCGTGCCTCTCGTCATGCTGTTTCCCAGGGCACGTGCTACACATTTTCTCTCCCTGAATCTGCCTCGTGGAGAGGCGACAACAGGTTAAGAAACCTGGAGGAGAGACACGCCTGGAAAAAAGGGCTGTGGGGGCCTCACCTTCTGATGACTTCTGACTGCTGTCACCATACAGTAGGGCGTCCTAAAAAAGAAAGGTCCAGACGGTGGCAAAGTCTGTTAGCCTCATCCCTCCTGTTCCTTCCTCCAACCCGCCCTTCCTCAGCCTCAGCAGGCAGAACCTGCCGACGCAGTGGCCTCTTCTGCTTCATGGCCTTAAATGCCACAACCGCTAGTGCTCCATCTGCAGTCCCAGGAGGGCGGTGACCCCTAGTGAGGGCAGGCGGCTTCGCCGTCAGTAAAACTAAAAGTCTGCTTTCTTATAATCTTGACCTCAGAGCCTCTATTGCTTTAGTTGGGCTGGACACAGAAAGAACTTCTATCTTGGGGTACGAGACGCTCAGGCAGGTTCCAGAGGGAACACGTGAAAGGTGCCACCTCCAGAGGTCTCTGAATGAGCTGGCCCAGGCCGCTGAAAGCCATCGCGGAGGGGGTTGTCCTGACAGTGCCTCCCTGTTCATAAAGCCCTCTTTCTGTATCTCATTAGTCCTTCCACAACTCGGAGGCAGGCACAGCACTCTCATCTTATAAAAGAGGAAACAGACGCCCAGAGATCTGTGTAACCTGCCCAAGTTGCACAGCAGGTAAACTGAGAAGCCAGGGTTGGGGTGTCTGGGCCTCCACCTCAGAGCACACGGCACGGGCCCCGTGCTGCAGTCACACTAACTCCAACAAGAGTCCTGCCAGGCAGACCCTGAGGGCACCACGGCTCCAGGGGTCAACCTGCCCAAGAGTCAAAGCTGGTGAGCACTGGAGCTGGGACTGACCACGCGACACTGAGAAGGCCTTCCGGAAACAGACAGCTTCAGTTTGATTAACCTGTGTTTCCCAGACTTTTTGACCTGGAAGTGCTAAAAACGAAAGTGGATGATCCTCGAGTAATTTGTTGGCTCTGGCAAGCATTATTCGCGGAGATCTCAAGTTTCTGGACAGTCACTTCCTACACACCTGAAGGCCTGTGGGAGGTAGGGCAGGCACGCCCGACAGCGACGCACCTGACTGGGACAGACGAGGAAGGACCGCCCTGTCTGGGCCTTCCCAGTGTGCTGAGCTGCTGCCGTGGGCCCCTCAACCTGACTGGGCACCTTTCCCTGGGGCTGCCTCTAAACAGTGCATGTTTCTCTGAGAAAACCTGAGGGACAGGTGGCGGAAATCCACCAGGTGGCCGTGAGTGAGATCGGTGTAGGGAGCGTGGCCGCTACGAGGAGACTGCCCAGGAGGGGACTGAAGCCGACGGTGACATTTTCTAGTCATTTCTTTCCATTGCAACGGTAAGCTCTTGGACGGCAAGAACAGGCATGTCCCTTGATGGTGCCCCGAGGGTCGCACGACGCTCAGTCTCTTTGGTGCCAAATAAAGAACTGCTGACCTTTGTTTCTTTGTAAAACTCTGAACACTGACCAGCTCGGCCTCGGGGTCCTGCCAAGACTCAGGCTGCCTGCTGCCCCAGCTCTGCCCGGTGCACCCAGCCTGCCTGCACACTGCCCTTCCTAGATCTCCGCCCGCTGTCACTCACCGCTGAGCCACCAGTCTCCCGCTGCATCTTCAGCTGTAACTGAGTGACTCGCCGCCGGGCACCTTCGATCTGCTCTTCTAGCTGGCTGCCGGGGTTCCGGCTGTGCACCTCACAGATACGCTGGGGAAGGGTGCAGACAGGGACGCGGGGAGAAGGCAGAGGGGCGGTTAGTGGAGAACGGAAGACTCACCAGTTATCTCAAAACAAAGGGGAGTGAGAAGAGGTCTTTAAGGCCCTCTAGCAGGAGCACATTATTTCACCACCATGTAGGAGCAGAAAAAGGCATAAATGGTGAGGAAGAGAACACGTGAGGCAGCTGGGGAAAGAAGACACACACAAAAAGGCCGTCCTACTCTGACTATTTCAAGGCCTGGCTTAAGTCCCACAGCCTAAAGGAGGTCTTTTCCGACGACTATTCAAGGGTGACATATTTAAGTGACTGTCGAGGTCAGCACACAAAAACGTGCCAAAGAGGAAACTTTCAGACAGTGAGAACCCTCTGCGATGAGAGGAAGAGGCGGGACTAGGGTAGACGCAAGCCCGTCCCCAGCCCGTGACCAGGAGCGCTGACACTCCCAGCAGGCTTTGCAGGCAGCAAGGCCTGGCTTCGACTGCCGGCACACCTCCACCTACTGGCTGTGCAGTAGGGTGGTCCTATCGACAACATGGAGACGACAGTACCTGCCCCATGGATGGCCGTAGGATCTAATGCAGTCATGTATGTAGAGTGCCTAGTGGAGCCAGGGGCGTAATTACGTGGCTGAATATGTGGCAGCTTTACTTCACTGCAAAAGGGACCGCTCAGGACACTGGCTGCTTGCATGGCTCAATGAAGGCTCGGGGCACACATTCCCTCGGCTCGCCAGGCCTCACAGCTACCTGGCAACCTTGTTTACAAATTCCTCACTTATGCTCCATCTCCACGCCTCCTAGCCAGGTCCCCCCCTCGTCTCAGCAGACATCTGCTTCCCAGTGTTAGTCACTTCTAAACACCTGCAGCCTTCTCCCTGCCATCCCAGAAGAGCAACCCTGTCTGAATCTCTTAGAGGGAACGCGTCATGACCTCGGGCTCTCTTTTTTTTTTTTATAGCTGAGCCATCCTGCCACCTGTTGGCAGCTCAGCGGCTGCTCAGCTCGGGCTGACTCGAACCGCTGTTGCTCAGAGCTCAAACTCTTGAGTGAGCTCTTAACCAACTGAGCCACTCAGCCGGCCCTCATCGGGCTCTCTTGAGGCACTAGGTAGGCACAGACCTTCAAATGTCCCCTTTTCCAGGGCTCCTGCCCCGCCTGCGAGTGCTCAGGTGTCCAGTCTTAAAAACGAACACTTTCCATCCACTCTGACCACTCTCCCAACCATGGCCTCAGCTCCTTCCTCTCACAGCAGGTGTCAACAGGTGGAGCCCCAGACTCCACAGCCTAGCTCCTCCCTGGGTCTCAAACTGCCACTCTTCCTAAGAATGAAATGACGCAGCTTCTGGGTCCAGTGGTCTCTTCCAGGTCGCTGAAAACGCTGCCTTCTTGTGACTTCCTAACTCTACACTGTCCCGGGTGCCCTCCCACCCTCTTACAGCTGGTGACACTCAAAGCGCCAGCTGAGCGGGAGGCATACGCAGATGCAGAGATAGCACATATGGTCCTGGTCTTTAAGGAACTCGATCCAGCAGGGGAGGAGGACAAATAAGTAATTAAAATAGAGACACGGCAGCAACGTTAGGAGTTGGTGCCGTGTGCTGCAGAATTCCACCTTCAGCTTTCTTCTCTCCTCGGTACTGGGGCCCTGGGTGACGTCACCTAGTTCCCCTTTCCAGCTGCCACTTCTGTGTGGGGACACCCAGTGTCTGCTTCAGCCAGCCTTCCCTCCTGAGGCTCAGCCCTGTTACTGCCGTACGCTCGCCGATGCTCTTACTTGGTCCCACCAAGCTGACTGTCATTTCTCCCCCAAACCCTGGTCCTCGCATCTCCTCCATCACTGGCATCACCATCTGTGCACGCACCCGAATGTGGGCCGTCTCTTATCCCCCTCCAATCAGTAAGTTCTATGATGCGACCTCTGAGAGGTCTCCCACTGCCATCCCCGACTTTGTCTCTACTCTGCGTTCTTCTTAAATCTGTCGTCACGTACATATCCAACAGTCTCCTCGACGGCTCCCTTATGTGTCAATCCACTGAATACACTTTTCTAGAGAACGCTCATTTGTAAGATATGTTCACTCCCCTGGTTCAACAATCCTCTGATCAATTCCCACTGTCTTCAGAATGAACTCCAAGCCCGTCAAGGCCCAAGCACTTTCCAGAGTGATCAGACTGCACCCAGCTCAAGCGTCACCTCACGAAGCCTCTCTGATCGTTGCATAATTAATTACTCCTTCTTCTGGGCTACCATGGCTTTTAATAATATTTTAAAATCACCATTGACACATAATTCACGAACATGAACATCGCCATTTTGAAGTGTACACTCAGTGGTTTTCAGTATATTCACAGAGGTGCTTCTTCTGGCCAGCGTGTTTTCAGGGTCCTTGTACCTCCTAGCAGGTGTCAGTGCTCATGGCCGATCACATACCGTCGTGTGGACGGACCCCACCTGGTTCATCATTCGTCAGATGTCACACACCTGGGCTGTCTGCACTTTCTGGCTGTTATGAGTACTGCTATTACGGCTTTTGTTTGAACACGTTTTCTATTCCCTTGGGCATATACCTGGAGCAGAATTGCTCGTCACATCTGGCTGTTTCTTTGCAAACTGCTTTCTTGCACCATTTACATTGTCACTTTCATCGGTGGGAACAGACAAGGAATGTGAACACACAGACAAAATAGAAGCAAAAATCCTGATTTCTCCACAGCTCCCCACTAACTGCTATTTGGCCCCGACCATCCTTGCAGTGAGGCAGGGTCCCATGGGGTATGTGTGCCTCTCCCTGTGACTACAGTGCTGAGGTCTCTTCATGTGCTCGTTGGCCCCTGGTTTGCCGTCCTTACTGAGCTGTCTATTCAAATTCTTTGGCCAGCTTTTCAAAAGGGTTATGTCTTTTTATTGCTGGGTTTTCAGAGTCCTTTATACAATATATTCCGGTACCAGAACCTTATCAGACGTACAAGTTGCAAATATTTCCTCCCATTGTGTGGGCTGTTTTTCTTTTTCTTTTTTTACTTTCTTGATAGAATCCTTTGATGCATAACAGTTTTTAATTTTGATGAAGTCCAATTTATCTTGTTTTTTTTGTCGTTTGTGCTTTTGATGTCATATCTAAGAAACCACTGCCTAATATGAGGTCATAAAGATTTATACCCACGTTTTCTTCTAAGAGTTTTATAGTTTTAAAAGTTTTAGCTGTTACATGTAAGTCTTTTGAGTTAAATTTTGTTTACTGTGTGAGGTAAGGGTCTGCATTCATTCTCTGCAGGTAGATATTCACTTGTCCCAGCACCATTTGTTGAAAAGACTGTTCTAGAACTCCTCCACTGAACTGCCGTTGACACCTTTGTCAAAAATCAACTGACCGCCGATGTGTGGGTTAATGTCTGAATTCTGTCCTATTGATCAACAGGTCTACCCTTACATCAGTACCACAGTGTCTTGATTATTCTATGACACCTGACAATATGTAAGTATCGTCACTCACTACAGTGTAGTGTAACTCCCCTCCGTTCATCCTGACACCCTAACGCATTACAAAGTCCTTCCAGGAAAGGTTCAGCTCCTATTTATCTTGTAACCATTCCCTGGCCCCCTCCCGCAGCACTGAAACACAGCAGCTCACAGCGAGCTTCCTGCCTGCACCTTTGTCCCCTCCCCATCTCTTCTGCATAGGAAGGCAGGCCCAGTTGGAAACAGGCCTCGCTGTGACACTTCCCCACACTTCATTATTAATTAGTTGTTCCCTGCTTGCAAGCTCTTTGGTTCCTGCCACCCTCTCTCCTACTGTAACATGAATTTTCCTCATTAGATTTTAAACATGTTGACAACAAGAAGTGTCTCATCTTTTTTGCCTCTGTACACCACAAGAACTAAAATGCTTTCCATCCAGAAATTTGCTGAGCTGAATGGAGGAGTGTGGGGCTGGCTGAGGCCACAGCGAGCCATCACTGGACTCTGGTGGTTCCACTGCAGCCACAGCCACCTTACTGTCCCCCACGCACACCTTCCCCAGGCCCCAGAGTCCCCTGCACCCCCACCTCCCTCCCTCAGACCGCCAAGATCAATTCCAATGGCCCTGGTTCTCCTCAGCTCTCCTGTCCCCTCACTTCATTTGGCCTGTCTCATCGCTGGTGTGTGTTTTGTGGATGTAGTTAGTGACGATTTTGATCTGTCATCTAAGAGCTCTGTCACCCTCTTCACTCTATCGGTCACATTCCACTGGAACAGATTCCCCCGGCCTGTGACAATTCCCTAGTGGTCCTGGGTTTTACTCTGTAAGGTTTTACAGTAGTAGAAAGTGGCCTGTAAATCCAGGTGTACACACTGGCAGATGGCTCCGATTGCCTGTGGCCAGTCCGCCCGCAGCAGTGGCCTTACCTGTAACTCCCGTTCCTCCTGCCTCAGCATATTCCTGAGGATCTGGGTGGCGTGTTTTTGAAATTCGGGATCCTGAGAATGGAAAATGGGACAGCAGTGAGAGTTGGGGACCAGCTCGATCGCTCTATTCTCTTCTTCCTGCTGATTCCTGGGCAAGGGAAGCGGTGCGAGCGGCTGGGCATGCGTGTTTGCAGAGCACCCGGAAGCTCGCTGGAGTTCAGTGAACACAAGTCTGCCTTTGCTCTCACTCCGGAGCTTCCTCGAAACCTTGCTGCTGCTCCCTGAGGTCCCCCAGGACTGGCCAGGGGAACCTGTCTGCTACTCCTCACACGGGCTTTCCCTGGTCCCGGGAGGGGGGGGGGACCCGCAGCGTTCTCTCCCTGCTAGATTTCGTCCTTTCCTGACTCTCTCCCTACCGATGGGCTCCACACTTCCATCCTCCAAGCAGCCTTTTCCTCCGGGAAGTCCTCCCATGCCCGGCCTGCTCCGTGCCCTCGTGGCAATGACTGGACAGTGTTAACAGACGCCTCTGGCCAGGCCTGCACGTGTGCACTCTGCCCACGGGAGGAGCTCTCAGAGGGCTTCCCTCGTCTCCACGCGTTTAGAAACATGTGCCGTGACATGAGGGCAGGCACCTCTGGCCTGTCTCAGCTCAGCTGCATCTCATTTGGGAGCACCCACTCTCCTCCCAGTGGGGCAACAGGGTGAGGACAGGGAGTAGGGCCATTACCTGCAGAGGCCTGGGTCCTGTGATGCGCTGTGGAGGTGGCAGAGGGGGAGGCGGTGGCGGGGGCATCACAGGGATGGCTCGGGGAGCTCCCGCCGGGGATGGGTCCTGCTGGAGCCCAGAGACACCAACGGATGAGGGTGCAGAGCCCAGGAGCGTCAGTGCAACATAGGCGCCGGCTGCAGGACAGACAAAGGAGGCGTGCTCCGTGGTGGTGTTGTGACAGCAGACAATCAGGCTAAAAGAGGGGTTCCTTTCTTTCTCTGCTCATGAGCTTCCCATTCTGTAGATGATGTTCTCCTCACTTGTCACATCCCCCTACTCTTGAACCCTGCTCACCTACCCTACATCAGCACAAGTCCCCTTCCCTCCGTTCTGCGTGCAGAGGCCGCAGCTCAAATCCACCTATGAACACCCGGCCACTCCGGAGGGGCTGCCCCTAGTGCCCTGTCTGTTCTTTGCCTAAGTAGCCAGCGTGAAGCCCTAGTGCACGGCCTGCCCAGCACATGGCAGGTCCTTCTGTGCCAGCCTTCCACCTCCCCAAACGCCCGCCCCGGCAAGCTCAGTGGCCACGTCTTCCCAGATGCACACAGAACTGTTTTGCTTTTTTCCTCCAAACAGGAAGAAATGAGAAAGAATGTCTGTGAACAGTAGCTGAGTGGGACATGGTCTCGGTAGGCTGTGGTCTGACCGGGTGTGCAAAGATGGGGGTAAAACAAAGATGCTGAGGAGAGACTAGCCGTGTCTCCACCTGAAATGCTACTAGGATTGTGGCAGTCGAGGTGGGCGGTTCCTCTCAAGGTTAAAGACGTGACTGCAGCTGCCGCCCACTCTGGAAGGAAGCCTCCGGGCCAACAGCCCCCCAACTGCTCCCCACTTCATTAGTGGCCAGCTCTCCAACTCACATTTGATGAGCTTCACCACCTCCAGGTGTGAGCTGTTGGTCACCATGGTGCCGTTCACCTGGTGGGGACAAATGACACTGAGGAATGGTGACCAAAACCTAGGGCTCCTTGTACAAGGTCGAACGCTCCTCGTTTAGGAAGCCAGCTCCAGGGTCCTCTAGCCACCTCTGGTCACTGTTTCCTCAAACCACACGAACTAGTTCCTGTTCACACCCCCGTGCTGTCTTCCCAGCCAGTCTGTAAGTACGGGGATGACACCCGTGTCTTCACTTTGCTCATTCATTCATTCATTCATTCATTCTTGTTCCCAGCTAATCTGTAAGTGCAGGGACGAGATCCGCAGCTTTACTCACTTGCTCATTCATTCATTCACTTATTTTTGTATATACTTGTTCAACCATTCGCCCTGTACACATGTCAACGGAGCCAGCATGCTTCCTCCTTCAGGGTTTCCTAAACGGTTCTAGGACTGCACTGCAGAAGAAAATGCTGAGTTGACAGCGCAGATGATAGTAGTCAGAACTGGCAAGGACCTGAAGCCAGCATTGTGTGGAGGACAGAACACCAGCCCGGGAAGCCAAAGGCACTGGGTCCTTCGGCGTCTCAGCATCACCCTCTTAATCTTGTTATTGTTATTTGTGAAACAGGAGTAATACAACCTGTCTAGAAGCTCGGTTGCTTTAGAGTCAAGAAGGGCCTAGAACATGGAACCCAGCTATCTGCACTACAAGGTCCCTGCTGTCACCTTGTACCACCATGCTCACTCTCGTGGTAGTACCCTAACTCAGTGGCTGCCTGACAGCTGGTGTCAAGGGCGCAGGGGGTCACTCACTTTGATGATCCGGTCGCCCTCTTTCACACCGGCTTTCATGGCTGCGCCTCCTGTAAGAAGGAGGCCTGGTCAGCAGAGCCCAATCACCTTGCCCAGGGGTCACTAAATGTATACCAAAGTCCCTGTCACATCACTTCCCTCCAAAACGTCTTTTCACGTCCCTGTGTTAAGTACCTCAAAGGGCTGGGTGCACATCCCACTCTGCTCCAGTGACAGAGCACTTTTAAGTCAAGTGGGCTGCACTGGGTCACACCTCTTGCTCTTTCCCCGCCTGGCCTGACACCAGACTCCTGGCGGCCAGGCCCGGCAGGAGAGAGTCTGGGCCAGGCTCTGGGAGGGCAGGTGTGCTTTACCTGCACGTGTCTGCATGTGTTCCAAGGTCAAATAAGAGAGACTTCCTACCATGCAGTGGGAAGAGTTTACTGTATTAAATATACTTGCTAATGTAAATAATTACTGAGAGGGCTACAGAGCAAAGGATTAAAACAAGAGTGTTCAAACTGGCTCGTAAGCCCTGAGAGGTTCCTAAAGATATTTTGGAGGCTCATTACACTGAAGACGATTTTCATAACGGGTTTATTTTATATTCAAAAGCTGCTTCAACTATTTACAATTTCTGCCTTTCTCGTGGGCAGAATTAAGAGCTGCTGACTGTGACGGGCTGAGGAGCTCAGAGCGTGCTCTCAGCTTTTCGGTTAGCGCCTGACTGGAGGCTGCAGTGGATCTGAGCACATGTGGTTTTCAACGACCTGGAGTCCTGATTCAATTTGCCCAGGAAGCATAAGAAACACTAACACTGAGACAAGGTAATGAGAGCATAGAAATGACGCTTTTTGTAAATTTGCCCCAAGATAATCATTAAATCGGTAAGTTGCATTCATCTGATCAAAACAAAACTCCCCCAAAGCACCTCTAGATGTTTCTAGTCTTAAGAGAAATTACAGTGACGACTGCACTGCAGCTTGGCTTCTCAATACTGGGACTCGAGACGACCCTCATGTAAAGTGTGCTGTTTGTGGAAGAGTCCTGCCTATAGCTGGAAATGCTCTTATGCCGTCATCTATTGGGTTGTCGGGAAAGTCATGAGGCATTTTTCTGTTTTTCAATGCAAAAATGTGTCACGACTTTTCCAACGACCCAATAGAAACCAAGCATGGAAAGGAAAGTCATTTTGCCTGAATGTGTGAGACACATGATTTGACTTCTAATAACTTAGTGATTAAAAAAAATTGAACTCTTCAGAGTTAAGGAATTAAGAGAGCAGTTCCCAGACTTCAGGAAATACGAGACTCACGGGGGGGGGGGGGGGGTTATTACAGAATCCTTGGCCCCTTGCCAGAAAGTGATTCGGTACCTCTGGGGCTGGGAACCAGGACTGAGGGCTCAACCATCCAAGCACCTAGCCATTCTGATGCAGGCAGAGCACAGACTACACTTTGACAAACAGTGAACTAGGGGAATGTAGTATCTAGAAAAGGTGACAACTACTGGTTACTCTGACAATTTCAATGCCATTCCAAATGGAGTCTCTTCCTCCCGCCTCCCCAATACGCACACATCCACATATTTTCCAAAGCTCGTATCGTGCTGCAAGCCTTCCTTTTGTTCTTTCTCCCTGGGTCTGACTCTGCTCAGGCCTAAAAGGAGGAAAAGCTGACAGAATGCTGATTCACACGCCCTGGAGGGGCCCCCAAACCTTCTGTATCAAACAGCCCACAGAGACTAAATATAAGTTATAGCAGTCCCACTAGCTCTGTTTCACCTGGTCCAGGAACCTTGAGAGAATCAGGGAAGCAAAGACTAAAAGCATCTTCTCAGAGCTCTACCCTAGAATATGAAAATGAATTTCCCACTGATAAAAGGTAACTCCCAAACAAAAGAAGCTCCAATTGTTTAGATCCTTGCGTGACCCATATACCTCATTTTGGTCATAAATTTGACATTCTTTTTTTCACCTTTCCTATAAACAAATACCAAATCTTTCCAAAATTACTTAATATATGTTCCTTCCCATTCTGCACTGTACTTAGAGTAAGCGCTCGCCTGCTCCCACCCCTTTCCTTGTATCTTCTTCAAGCCAAGCCCATGATGCTCCGCATCACCAAGCCCAATCCCATGCGTGGCACTTGCTTTGGACTCTCCCCCACTCCCACGTCCTTCCTGTCTCCCTCCAGCCTGGCTCCCTCACAGCAGCGATTCTGCCACCCGGCATGATGTGCTCTGATGTTGAAAGCTCGCATACCTAACCCCCTACTCTTTAGTCCCTTCCCACCGAATCCCCATCCTGCCAAAGTGTTTTCATTTCCATCTTTCAAACTACTGAAATCCTCTTTCTTTGAAGAGGGCATCCCAAACTGGTAAGAAAATAATGACTATGCCTCAAACCACCAGCTACCCGAACACCATCTCACGCCCCGCATGTCCGACACACACGGTTCCGCTCACGGGAACTTAGCATTTCGTGCTCACTGCCCGTGCAGCTGCACTTGGACAGTGGCCCGTCCGCTGCACACAGCTGCGGAAATGGCGGCCCGTGCAGAGTGCTGATGTGGGGTGAGCAGGACGGGTGCAGGCCTGCGGTTCCTCCGGGGCCCTGGTCCGGTGTGAGGAGCTCCCTGTGGCAACCGGGCACGTGCCTGACAACTGTGGGCTCTTCTGTTTTCACACTTCCCAACAGGGGAAGCGAGCCTGCACTGCCAGCCCTGGGAATCCTGCTTAGAGGCCTAGTCAGCACTGCGGAGACTTCCCTAGAAGCCCCAGGGGTCCCGTTCCAGAGGGACTCACTCATGCCCCCAGGACTTCCCAGGCCCCCACGAGAAGGCACTGTTACACACAGGGCGGCTGCGTGACAAGTGCCCATCGCGGGCGTGAGGGCTGTGACACTCACCTGGCCGCACAGACTGCACCAGGACGACGCGGTCCCCGCTGACCGTGAAGCCGAAGCCATGCTGGTCCCTCTGGACGATGACACAGCGTTGGACGAGACCTGGCGGAGGTGCGGCCAGAAGGTTAGTGCGCAGCAGGAAGGCCAGCCCGGGAAGCCCCACATGCTCCTCCCTGCAGACCACCAGACCCCGCCCCCAACGGGTGCTGTCCAAACGCTACGGCGACAACGCGCCTCCCTCAGCGACAATGTCCCATGCAACAAAGCATCCTCTCTGTACACGGCGGTCTCTCTGAGCTTGTCTGGGACAGACTGGCCAAAGAAGGGGCAGGGCCGATGCCAGGCTGATGACTAATGTTACAGAGAAGCGGCCAGGACCGAAGCCCAAGTCCTCTGCCAAACTACGGCCAATGAATGAGCAGGTGGGTCCCCAGGGCTCGCTGACTCTGCAGAGCTGGACAACTCACGCAGGGTGACTCAGGGCTGGCACACGTGTGCCCCTTGTCACATGTGCTCCCATATACAGTGAATGAAAGAAAGCGAGGCTGTAACCCGCCATGCTTCTGCCCTCGTGGGTGTGTGCAGGCATGTGTGAGCGCTTCCTGTGACGGGTAAAGCGTGAGTTCTAGGGTTAAACCCCACTGGTTCAGGTCCCGATTCTGTCCCCTACAAGCGTGTGCACTCAGGCAAGTTTCTAAACCTTTCTGTGCCTCAGTTTCCTCATGTGTAAAACAGAGATAATGAAGCCCACGTTCTACAGCTGATTTTATATGAAACACATGAGAATGCCTAGCACACATCATGAGCTCGATACACAGGCTAAACTGTTTTACATCTGGGCACACGGGTCTGTCTGTATGAGTGCACGGCTGTGTGTCTGTCTATGTGCGCATGCCCCAAGGATGTTACCTGCTGTCTCAGACGCATCAGAGGGCTGGCGGTGGTGGGAAGGGGAGTTGCGTTCGGGTGTTGAATCGCCCAGAGACAGGCTACTTAACCTGAGGAGTAAGAAGAGCCCATCGGTCAGGTGGGAAGGGACAGGATGCCCCGTCAGAAGGGGCCCGAGTCTTGGGTACCAAGAGACTGACCCTCTCACCCTGTAACCCACTCTGTCTGGTGGGCAACTATACCACTGGCAACACCACCTATTTGGAATCCTACGCTGGCAGGGCAACATGGTCTCTTTAATACCCAGCAAGGCATGAAGGGCACCGGCCCTTCCTGGAGTCAGGAGACAGAGAGACAATAGCGAGGACGAGATATGCACAAATACACACGCTTGTCGGGTCTTACCAGGCTGCAATGGGGCTGATGGAACAGAGCGAAGCAGCAGACAGAATGAGTGCGAGAAAAAGACAGGAAAAAACAAACAGCTAGTTAGCTTTTGGCAATGACCCACAAAGGAAGGGGGGACTGGAAGGCCAGGGACACACAGAAGCCGCACAAACACAGCAGACGACCCCGACTTTAGCTTCATCTCGCCGTCCTTCCCTCAAGCAGCGTGTCGAGGAGGCTAACTGGGCGTCTGGTGCTACCCTGTTGGGCAACCGGCAACTGTGCACTTTTCTAGGAGGAGGGATACAGCCATGACCCGAGCCTTTGAAAATTCCATTGATCATGCGGGACCACGGGGAACAGGAAGCTAATCTGTTTCGCGGGGTACGCCCACTCCACATTCGGCCCGAGGCACTTGGCTTAGATAGACTACCCCACAAGAAGGTCCACGGCTTGGCCTGCTCTCTAACAGAACCCTGCAGGATGGGGGACGCTCGAGCCACCGCGGAGCCTCTGCAGACAAGTGTTTCAACTGCCAGCCCCCCGTCTAAAGTGCTGCCACTCAGAAGGGGGTGTCCCAGTCGCACCCCCAGTGAACGCCGATGGAGAAGGCTGTCATGGAAGCAGTGTCTGCAGGGGCACACGCTGGGCGAGGGGAAATGTTCACGCCGGGTGGGCGGTCACACACATGGCAGTGCGCCCATGTGACGACCCGCGCTCGCCCTAGAGAAGAACAAGGGGCTCTTTCTACATCAGGTATCGTCTCGGAGACGTGCTGCCGAGTGAAAAAGGCCAGGTGCAGATTGAGGTGTACCGGAAAAAGTGGGTGGAAAAGAGGAGATGGGAGTTGGTTGTTTGTGTAGTTCATGTATTTGTTACATCTGCATCAACATCTCCGATCGCTCGGAAAGCGCACGGAACAAACACACAGCGTTGGCTGTCTCTGAGGAAGGAAACCGAGTGCCTGGGGCACACGGGTGGACTTGGGAACTTTTTGTTCTATTTCCATCTGTGCCTTTTAAATTCTAAGTCATGTGAAGGTGCTCTCTCTCTCCCAATAATAAATACAAAAAACCCCAACAACACCCTTTAAATTTAAAAGCGGGGGTCTTCTCCCCCCCTCACCCTGGCCCCCCTCTTACCTGGACAGGTGAGACTGCTTTTTACTGGCTGATCTTTGGACCAGAGAGAGAAGGACATCAAGGAAGAGAGCGTGGGGCCCAGGAGAGAGCGAGGCAGAAAAGGAGGAAGAAAGAGAAAGAAAAAAACAAAACAAGACATAAACTACACAAGACACTGGAGACAGGTGATTCAAGAGAAAAACCATTCGAGCTGTCACAGGCCCGGCGGTGGAAACTGACCACAGGGCAGTAGGAGTGAGCTTACTAAAGCGCCGATCTACCTGTGCCACTTTGCTGCTAAACCCTTTTTGAGCTTTCCTCCTGTGCTCAGAGGCCGCCCTGTCTTCAAGCTAGGCCACCAACCACGGCACCGAGCGGGCTGCCTGGCCAGTGCGTGCCCGACGCCTGCCACGGCGCCCAGGGCCTGTCCTCCTGCAGCACCGACACCCAGCGGAAATGCTTGTTGGCGCGTCTGCAGGCTTATCCAGGTGAGGCGCAGGGTCCACGAAGGCAGGGCGGTGCTGGCCAGTGTCCCCAGGGGCTGACACACTGAGGGCTCCGCCCTAGTCCTCGTCCCTGCTCCCAGGAGCCCCTCTCACTCTACCCCCATCACGGCACCGTAAGTCAGACAGGAAGATAAACTTCCGGGAGCTACAACTCTGGCTTTCTTCAGGGTACCCTATCCACCACCCCTTGACCACCCCCAGATCCTAAGGCAAAGAGTCGGCTCAGTTCATTAATAGTAAATGTTCCAGAATCTAGGATGGTCACTAAGCGTACTGTGCAGGTCCTGTCGCGGTGCACTAAATGAAGTCCCCATGCCACACACCTAAACTCAGGTAGTGCGACACGTTGGTCACACCTCGACAAAAATGGAAAAAGAGCGTTCTCGAGTCCAGACCTGTGCTACCTAATACAACTGCCACTACCCACATGTAGCTATTAAAATTTAAATTAAAAACAAATTTTAAATTCAGCATCTCAGTTGTACTAGGCACACGTGCAGTGCCGAGTGAACCATTCCAATCACTGCATGTCTCCTGGACAGTGCTCCCCGAGGCCCTGTGCCAGGCACCAGGGAACACAAACACGAAGGAGACGGTCACCTGCAGGAAACGGGTGAGGGAAACAGCCGGGACATTAGTACAAACACGGGTGGCAACGGCCCCGCCCTGCCCATCAGAGGGGTTCTCAGAAAGGGCCTCTCAAGGCCCTTTATTCCAGCTGTGCATCTGCTGTCTTCGGTCAGATCCACGACAGTCCACCCCTCAAACCGCATTCATTCATATCACTTCATCCAGCGACACTGGACCTCATGTGGGATCCGAACAGGGGCCCTGCTGCTCAGAGCTGGCATCCCAAGCCAACTCCTAACCAACGCGCCACTCGGCCGGCCCCTCCTATGTGCTTTTAAAGTGTCACCATCTGTCTGAGTGCATCCCTGCTGTGTGCTACACACACGCCCCAGGCTCACCCTGTCCTTCCCCACGCCAGACCTTGAACCAGAGAGCACTAAGGAGCCCTGTTCCTCTTGGTAGGAAACATATTTAGAAACAAGGTCTGGGGCCGGTGCTTGTTCCTGCTGAGCTGTCAGGGCTTCTAGGGGCCAGAGCAGGAAACATTTGTTAAGAAATGGTGAGTTCACACTGCAATCTCCAGTCCAACTCCAACACTGCAGGCTTCTCCCTCGTCTTCCCCGATTCTGTATTTTATCTTCCTTTTCTCATAGTGAGAGCCCTGTGCCCAAATTGCGGTATTTTTACTCATTTGCTCTACTCTGAAATACATACAGGAGAGTTTCTGGAGCCACTGCACCAATAACACGGGCACCAACACACTTACTAAACAAAGTTCAAGGTTTCCTTGTAATTCTTTTTGCAAGGAAAAACTCTTAAGACTGTATCCCACTAAAGGTGTAGTTGGTAGCGTGTGTGAAAATCCCTTTGAATTATTTGTTATCTATTGGAAATGCATTTAGTTTTCTTTTTGTATTGTACTTAAGTAGGGTTTGCTTTTTTCAGGCCTATTTATTTTGTTAAGCATTGACATAGCTGAAAACTTAAACTGAAAATTTAAAAGTATAATCAGAAGTGTCCCTATCCTCGTCCCACTCTCCCCAAGTGACCACTTTCACTTGTTCTTAGTTTCCTTTCTGTGTTTCTCCCTGTAAAACTAACCAAAAATTCTTATTTCCCTTTCTTGCTTACCCTGCACCTTTTCACTTTGTTAATATATCAAATGAGAAAGCAAAGGCACTCCGTATCAGTTCGTGGCAGTCTTCCATTTCCTCGTCATTTTCTTTATGGTGTGGCCCACACGCTGTCTGGCACGAGCGTTCCTACCTCCTATACTAGCCCCTGTCATCTGGAGTGTGGGTCCTCCTCTCTGCTGGAAGACGAAGGTCACACATGTCCTCATGTGCTCTCAAGCAGCAGCAGGCACTCTGTAAACACGTCCAAACACCCCCCTCATCCTAGCCTAGAGGGTACATGACACAGCAAGGACATGTGTGTGACCTTGGTCTACGGTGGGGTGGGGTAGGGTGTGTGTGTGTGCACACACACCCTACCCCACCCCACCCCACCGTACAACACCGTAACAACACATTAGAAAAAATGTGTTGTTAATTTTAAAAGCAGGCAATTTCACATTAAAAAATACAGGTTTCTGGTTTCTCTTGAAAAGGCAGAAGTTCTGGCACCACTGGGCTTACAGTCTCACGTGGTGACAATTGCTGAATCTGGGTGGTACCAGCCCCCTCGATGGGGGGCTCCTGGTCTCTCCGCCCTTACCGCCCCCATCTGTCCCACCAAGCGTGTAAATGAGGAAAAGGCCTAGAAAACCCCTGTCCTGGGAATGCTGACGTTCTTCCTATCTACCAGGCCCTGTGCAAACAGCTGACCTAGGTCATGTCACTTAATCCCCGTAACGCCGGCAGTCCACTCATTTTCAGATGAGTGAGTGGAGAAGTGGAGTGAAGTGAAGATGTGCATAAAGGCGGTCTGGCTTCAAGGTCTACGCTCCTAAACAAAGTTACACGCGCTGTGGCCATATGTACGTCTCCTGGTCTTTAGTAGACCTCCCCTCCTATTTTCTTTTTTATATACATATATACACACACGCACATACTATATGTATATGCACGTGTA